AGACATGTAGAGAGAACACAGACAAGGACCTTAGCTGGCTTTGCTGGAGCCGTGTATATTGAAACCAGGTAGGTATCTGAATATAATACATCCTGCAACTCCAGAAATGGGCTTTTAATTGTAGTGACTGAGAGGTAGTTATAGCACAGTTTTATATTTCATTATAGATATGGCTGAAACTCTCAATTGGCTCTGGCTTGGAGGAGGAGGGTTTCTATTTAATGCTTCTATGCTCTAAGGCATATTAAGAAGAAATCTCACATTAAACATCCTTTCTGCTAACCTTCATCACTTCTGGGCTTTTATACCTGCTTCCAAAGTGCCTGATGCTGGATCTCTTCAAATGCGTATGCTATGGGTTCAGTTAATGCTATAAGATGTTGTTCTCTTTCAGATGAGAGGAAGTATATTGATCCAGAGTTATCTAGAGAGAAAGGGAGCTCCTAGCTAAGATACATGAGGTGAGAATGGAGTGGGCTGAGGCTCTTGGGCACACCTCATGCCAAGGGAGCCCCAAAAGCCATGGGACTGGGACAGGCTGAGCCCCCCCGGTACCAGGGGCAGAGGGTGGTAGGTCTCAGGCCATGGTGCGGACTGAGGGATGGCAGGGGCCACACCTGACACATTCCCAGGCACCAAGTGAAAACTGTGTAGCTGATGTGAAAGAGGCTATAAGAGGAAGGATGCCATGCAGAGGCTGATAACTCAGGGACAGACAGGAAGCAGGTCTGGCAAACCGGGTGAGGACATGAGGCTCAATCCTTCATTGCATAATGCAGCATACAGGGCTGCAGCTAGGGGAACTGCAGAGTTGGGCTTCCCCGTGTCCCCTCCCTGGGCAGGAAAGGATGAGACAGCCATGCAGGTAAGGGTCCAATGAACCTCAGCCTGTAGCCAAGGCCCTGGCATGCACCCCAAAGGTGGGAGTCACTTTTCTGCCACCCCTTGGAAGGGGTGAGTCCTCAATTTCCTGGGTAAAGCTAATCTGGCTCTGGGGTGAATCCGTGGAGAGGTCCTTTCACCCCATACAGCCATACAGGAATTTGTTGCGGCCAAGGATTCTCCCTCCCTCCCCCAGAAGGCAACCAGGAACGTCCCTTTTTCAAGCCTTTCCTACCTGGGTAATGTTTCTGTCGTGAATCAGAGCAGCCGC